ATGTCATCAGGGTTACTGGAATAAAAGAAAGCTTGACTTTAAATAGTAGGAAATACAATCCTGAGGTCTGAACCTGAGCTGTGGAGTTTGAAAAAGTTGCATAGGGGGATGCACACTGAGTTGCATTGTGGGAAATATACCCTGTTTTTGGATACAGTGTTTGCAAAATGTCCCCTAAGCTCGAAAGTACATACCTTTTCTTTTCTGTACATACGACAGCTGCCCTTAAAAAGTACTCAACTGGCTTGCAGTATACCTACAACTGGAACAAACTACTTCCTCATATATTTGTGACAGCTGGCAGTGTGAAGTAAAGATGCTGACGAACCTTCCACTGCAATGATTGTCAGTCAAAATGGCCAGAACAGCATGATTACATTCATACATTCATATTGTTGTGTGGAATATATGTTATATTGATTTTACAAGATTGAATTTCCCTTCTGGGATAAATAAAGTATTTTTCATTTCATTTAATTTCATTCATTTCATTTCATTTCATTTCATACTGCAAAATCAGACCAGATCTAATGGGACATCCTGGTATTTTTGCTGCATTTGGCAAACTATGTATTGGGACGGACAAAATCTTTTTCTAAATTACCGTATATCATAGTAGTATGAATACTGGAAGATACAACTGATCTATCTCTTCTGAGCTCCCGAATTTAATTAAAATGATAAATTAGCATTAGTGCTAAAAAAACAAAAAGTGTCATTTTAATGCTTCAGTGTATAGTATATTTACCGCTTCATAGGCTAACAGCATTATCTTTAAAGGTATAGTTTTCTTTCTCCTGCTCTCTGTAGATTCAGGCCATTAAAGCTCAAACATTATTTATCAGTCAAATCTGAAAAAATGCACAACTGACAAAAAACAGAGGAAAATAATAGAACTTTTGCTGTCTCACTAACCTGGTTCCCTTTTGCCTGTAAGTCTTGTGGGAAAACAAATCTTTATTCTTTTTTTTATTAAAATGTATCCCCTAAAAGTGGCTACAGGTTTAGATGCATCGTTAGTTTTAACTGCTATATAGAGATATTAAAACCCATCCTGGTATCTCTGCACAGTGGTGCTATTGTTTTATATTTATCATCTCATGACTGTTGTATTGTTTTTACTATACAATAAAAGATATTACCCCTTTCTTTACCCCGAGTTGCTCTGCCATGAACGCAACAACCTGTGCTATTGCTTCTTTTATACATCTGAGACATTACAGTCATCATGAAAAAAGCAATTCCACTGAGTTACAACTCATAAAACCTCTCTGACTGTATTTGCAGCCCGGCTGTACCAATGTCTGCTATGACCACCTCTTCCCCATCTCCCACATCCGTCTGTGGGCGCTGCAGCTCATCTTCGTCACCTGTCCATCTCTGATGGTGATGGCTCATGTCAAATACCGCGAGGCGAAGGACTTGAAGTACGTGGAGATGCACCAGGGCTCCCACCTGTACGCCAACCCTGGCAAGAAGAGAGGGGGCCTGTGGTGGACGTATCTGCTGAGTTTGGTCTTCAAAGCTGGATTCGACACATCTTTTCTCTACATTCTGTACCGGATATACCATGGATACGACCTGCCCAGGTAATGATGGGAACTTACTATATCTCAGATCAAACAGTGGTGTTCTGTACCAGCTACAATGTGCTCTTCTGTTTTCTTTCAGGTTGTCCAAGTGTTCCCTCGACCCTTGTCCCAACACTGTTGACTGCTTCATCAGTCGCCCAACGGAGAAGAAGATCTTCATGCTGTTCATGGTCATATCCAGCGCACTGTGCATCTTCATGTGCATCCTGGAGATGTTTTATCTCATTGGCAAGCGCATTGCCAAAGTGTTAAAGGTCAGACATGAGAACGAGAGGCTCGTGTTCGCCGACCAACATGAGCTCACCACCATCGCTCCTCCCAGGTCCCAATATCGGAGAACCGATCCAACACTGGCAGAGAGCCAACTGAGTTTAAACAAGAAGGAGAAGATCAGAGAAGCTGGGATGACTACGACACTGTAGGACCTACGGGATCACAACATCCTGGGTTTGTGATGATGGGTGGCCAACAGGAATACAAGCTACCTAATGGGTATTAAAACTGATGAAAGGGTGGTTCCTGTGTATTGTGATCCTGAGATCCAGCTGAACATGAAACATTCATGACTCTCTCTGGGAAGGGTTGGCACCAACGGCTGCTTATGTGTTGTATACCATTGTTAAAGAAGAGGACTACTAGTGATTGGATATCACATGTCTAACTGAGTACCACTGAACTACGAGGAGAAACATTCACATCATGCTGCCTTTTCCAGGACAAGTGAACTGATGTGATTGAAGGGCATTGCTGATCATCAATATCACTTTTAAATAAGGGTTCCATCTTGCTGTAAATACTGCAAATTACAGCACTCAGTATCTTCCTCGCTGTTAATAGCATTATTAATTGTCAGAGTGAGAAAAAGATTGCCTCTGGTGCTCTGTGCATTCATATTTCTTCTGCTAACTGGACCAAAATGAGGCTGGGAATGTAATGAGCTGTTGCCCCGCACAAAGTGCTACACACCAAGATTGAACTCCTCACCCTGTGACAGCTCCACTAAATCTAGATCTGGAAGTTTCCAGAAGCTTTCTGATCAGACAGTTAGTAAGGTAAGGACAAGGTGCAGAAAAAGATGAGAGAGTACAGAGGCTCACATCTGCAGCTGATTCCTTTGTGTGTCTACGAGGAGTTTGAACGATCAGAATTCACATTACAGTAAAGTCATTGAATTTACATCGAGAGTGTAGCTGTAGTTTTGGAGTGATGTTAAATTACGAGGTCACGTCTGCTTTTGTCTTCGGTTGAATCCCCGCACGCACTTCTGTTTTGACTAAGCATCAACTGGAATGTGGTCCAATTGTTTCTTTTATTGCAGGCTGTTGTTTGCCATTATAGTGACATATTTAACTGCTTGTAAAATAAAATAAAAAATACTGACTATAAACTGTTTGTGCTGACTTTAATCCTTTGCAGGGAGAAATATGCAGTGCTTGCCTACACATAACAGTGCTTGAAATAACAAATGTCCAGACAGGTGGTGAATTAGAAAATAAACTGACATGTGTCTTAGTAAGGTGTTCAGACACCTCTGCTACTGAAGCCATAAACACTATTCTACCAAAACATTTCCCCTTATTTGGTGTTATGACAGTGGAGATATCAGTCTGAAATCTCCCAACAGATGTCCAATTTTGCTAAGATCTGGTGACTATGAAGTCCATAACAGTTCAATGAGCCTTCATGTCCTATGAATGGGGGCGTTGTCATGAAGGAAGAGATCACTCCCATCAGGGTAGAAATGTTTCATTACAGGATTAAGGTGTTTGCTCAGAACAACTCTGTACTGATTGACATTGACCCTTCACACCAAGGTACCAAGTTGACCCAAACCATGACAGCAAAATGGCCCACACAGTATAACAGAGCCCCCAGATCCCCTCGCTGTAGGACTCAAGGGTTTCCAATAATTTTCCACCTTTAATTTGTAGTTTGTATTTAATACTGAGGCAGGATTTGGTGTCATTTTTTTTAATTATTATTTTGTTCAAATAACCATGAAAGTACTTCCGAAATGCCTCATAGGTCACACCAGATATTTTCATTAATCACACTTTGTTTGAGCGCTGCACGGTGCCTCAGTGGTTAGCACTGTTTCCTCGCAGGAAGAAGGTCGCCGGTTCGTGTCCCGATGAGGACACCTGGGATCTTTCTGCGTGGAGTTTGCATGTTCTCCCTGTGCAGCGTGGGTTCTCTGCGGGTTCTCCAGCTTTCTCCAAAAACATGCTGAGGTTAATTGGTGATTCTAAATTGTCTGTAGGTGTGAATGTGAGTGTGCTTGGTTGTCTGTCTCTAAGTGTAGCCCTGTGATAGACTGGTGACCTGTCCAGGGTGTCTCCTGCCTTCACCCTAAGTCAGCTGGGATAGACTCCAGCCCCCCACGACCCTAGTGAGGATTAAGCGGTGTATAGATAATGGATGGATGGACACTTTGTTTGATGGAACACAACACAACCCTGAAACTGATGTGGGCTGGAAATAGCTTCATTACATTACCACTAGATGGCAGTATTCTCAAAGCTTAATAAACAAAACATTGATTTATTTAAGTGCATCCAATTCTATTTTTAGTCCAAGAATGAACTAAGAAAACCTTTAGCCTGAGCACACCGGTCACATGGAAGTTCAGGTGCTCTGCTGGCGTCACAAACCCGCCTGCTGACAGCTGGCCGTATCACCGATGGTACAGATGTACCAACCATATGGATCTGTGTAGGAGACGGCTGTTCCTGCTGCCTTTTCATGCTTCCTGAAAGTGTGAATTTATGGTAAATACGATTGCTTTGTGTTTATTTATTTATTTTACAGCTGTTAACCAGCAATAAGATGGATTATAATTTACCAAATGCGAGATAGACAATAGCTTTCCAAATAGAAACGCCTCAAGGCCGACCTTATGCTGCAGGAAAAGACTGAGGAAAACGTTTGGCAGGAGGCACATTGTGAAAACATATGCAGAAGAATTTGGAGATGATGTCGAGTATGTTACAGGAATTAGATGGTTATATTAGATGGAATAGTTTGAGTAGACATGTTGTCTGTTTCAGAGGGGATGCAGGTGATACGTCCATCTGAACGCCTGCATTCAGCCAACAGTGCCGATGCAAGCGACTCAGCGTTACTGCAATATATCAGATATGTGTGATGGATTCTGAATCTACAGAAAATTATGAACATGAGTGGAAATCTCAATGAAACACATATGAGCTATTAAAATCGGGCTTTTCTAAATTGAATAAAAAAATAATGATTTTGCGTGAAAAGCTGTCACATAATCATTTAAAGAGTTTGTCTTACCTAAACAAAGAACAAAAAAAGAGGACAGAAGTGTAAATTAATGCATTTGTGTGAGTTAGTTCAGGAGGAATAATCCGAAATTGAGAAATGTTGATGTACAGGAGAAATAATCTTTGAAAGCATTGCTGCATTATATACAGAAATCTGTTTTTCTTAACATAACTGAAGATTTTTTTTTCTTTCCATAAATTAGCAGATGGGATAACATTAACATTAATTAGTAACCTAATCCAAGTATAGCAAAGTAACATACTTTGATTACTTTCTGTTGCCTTTGGATAAATAAAAAGCAATAAGATTGCTTTTACTCAGGTGTCTTCTGTGATATATGTCCATGTGCATGATACTTTATTTTCAAATCTATGTTGAAAATGTAATCCTGCAAATAATCCCCATTTTTACTCAATGTACTGGTAATCTGATTTTTTTTTTCTGTAACTTGAGCAAATCATACCTACATTTTCTTGGATCCCAATAACCTAACACCATTCTATGTCTTCTGTTACTCCACAGCCTGTAAATTAGTGCAGAAAATTTCCCCGGAAAGCAGAAAATTAAGTGCATGAGACTAAATGAATGATGGTCAGAGACGAGTCCACTTCTTTGACATTCAGACCACTTGGTAAAACTTGCATTTCACATTGCTTTTCCTCACCTTCTACTCTCTCTGTGTTATCAGAGGATTTACATTGTGCATAATACAACCCTGCTTGGTTCTTTCAGTGTAACATCCATTTCATTGACAGTGCTCGCCTCCCTGTGGGAACTATTTCTGCATCCTAGACCTACCACCACCCAGACTGACTGGGATTGGTTAAAAAGAATAAAAACATGCCGGAGATTTCCACCCTGTAGGAGAACGATAATAAGGTGCTGTCAGACCATTTTAACTGTGGAGATATTTCTGGCTCTGCAGGACTGTGCATTGACCAACACCCTAAGAAAACATTCCACCTTAATAGTTGGCAATGTCCTGCCAGAAATTAATTGGCGGGGGGGAGTGACTGCTAAAGCTGGATCTGCCAGTTTATATATGTCTACAGCTGCTTTTATTCTGCTCAAGCAATAGTGATGTGCAAATATACATAACTTTATGTTTAGGTATGTCTTTGTGAAAGTATAACATTTCTTGTCATCAAATACTCCATCCATCCATTATCTACCTATACACCGTTTAATCCTCACTAGGGTCGCGGGGGGCTGGAGTCTATCTCAGCTGACTCAGGGTGAAGGCAGGGGACCCCTGGACAGGTCACCAGTCTATCACAGGGCTACACTTAGAGACAGACAACCAAGCACACTCACATTCACACCTACGGACAATTTAGAATCACCAATTAACCTCAACATGTTTTTGGACTGTGTGGGAGGAAGCTGGAGAACCTGGAGAGAACCCACGCTGCACGGGGAGAACATGCAAACTCCACACAGAAGGGTCCTCACCGGGATGCGAACCGGCGACCGAGCCACCTTGCAGTCCCTGAACATAACTTGCTTGAACAAACTAAACAAACAAAAAAAAAAGAAAGCAAGAAAAAGAAAGAAAGAAAGAAAATGAAGATCTTTTTACCATCACTCTGTGGGCAATAACCTTTAAGATTTACCACTTAATGAAATCAAGACTTTTAATAACCTTTCAGGTCCTGTATAGGAGCTGTGGTGACATTTGGGAAACTGTATTACATAATTTGAATTGGTCTTTAAAAGCTATTTCAACAGGTAAAAACTAACTGGACTGGTTATAATGTAGGGCACAGAACAGATATAGTAATGCTGAGACATGCAAAGGAGATCATGTTGTTATGAATGTTTGACCCGGATCAACTAGGCCATACAACTATCGGGTTGTGGCAGACGATCACTTTAGGGCACTGCACCTGTCTTTAAACAACAAAACTCCACACAGAACGATCCCAGCTATCCAAACCAGGGTCAGGCGTCTTCTAGCTGTGAGGCGACGGTGCTAACCCCCACATTTCCAACATAAACTGACACAGAAAAAGCACGTACAGGTGCAGAAAACTCACCAGAATCGAGGAAAGCAAACGTTTGATTCTCCTGTTGAACTAAAGACCTGCATAGTGAAGAGTTGGAACAGGCGCTCATTTATTTAACCGCAACAGAAAACTTCCGACGAGGATGGGATTCGAACCCACGCGTGCAGAGCACAATGGATTAGCAGTCCATCGCCTTAACCACTCGGCCACCTCGTCTGGTGCACCTAATATCATAGCAGCTAATATCCCCTGGACGGAAAACTACTATTAAACACGAGTAATATCCAAATTCAATCAGTTCCACCGATTTATTTCCGGGTGTTTCCACGGGCTGTCGCGGCCGCTGCTCCTGTTTCATCACTGTCTTTGAGCTCTACTGATGATTTCTGTGCCACGTTCACAGCGAGTCTCGCCAAATCTGCAGAGAAGCAGCTCGATCACTGGCTCATCCCCAAACAGCAACAACGTGTAAACGAGGTGTTAACGTGTTTACTACGAGCAGAGGAGCAGCAGGGCGCTCAGAAACATGCAGCCCATGTTTGTGTCCACCAGAGGGCGCCACAGACCAGAAATTACAATCATCACTCAGTGGGTCTGATGAGTAAACATCCTAATTAATTTAATAATGATGATGATGTGTGATACAGCTTCATTAGACTCTGATGTTGATTATATTAATTGCTGCTGCACGTGGCTCCAAGTGTGCAGCCATGAAGCTCATTGTTTGGATTTATATGCGTGTAAAATGTATGTTTTGCTAAGAAAAGAGTGACTCATTCATTTTATTTTAGTATGACTCACCATTTTTTTTGCTCCTGATTGGAGTTTAAAAGCAATATCTAGAGTTTATTTATTCTTCTCTCATAATCTAATTGATTAGCAATGTCATCATTTGCATATGTGTTGTTTAATTTCATTTATTATGATTGAATAATATATCTGAGTCAGTAAGGTTTCAATTGTTTTTGTGCGTGCATGACGTAATAGCTGCTCCAGACTATGGTGTGAAGCTGGGGAACCTTCCAGTCTGGTGTCAAGTGTGTGCTGATGGTGTCGAATCACAAGGCAGGACACGAGACAGAGGGGATCGAAC